GGACACAACATTCAAGCTTGATACAGCACTGAATTTGGATTGTAATTAAATATTTGACACAGCATAGGTTTCTGACACAGAATGAATGTGGTCTAAGAACTTAAAAAATTTTAATTTACCTATTCAAACCATATCATTATTATTTGCTTTTATATATAAATCAGAAATAACCAATTTAAAATGGAAAATTTTAAAGAAAAAAAAGGACCCCCCCCCCCCAAATTTTTTGAACCCCCTTCTGATTCATCACCCCAAACTCAATCCCAGCCTTCCCTTTGTGGTGTGGTACCTTGCAGCGCGATTTCAGAGAGATCCATACACTTGAACACAAGTTATTGTCTGGAAACTAGAAAAATGCTTGTTTTTTTGCCCCTTTTTGGCCCCAAATTCCTAAACGTTTAGGGCAATTACCCCCAAACTCAAACCCAGGTTTTCCTTTGTGATATGGAACCTTGCAGTACAATTTCATAAAGATCCATACACTTGCACACAAGTTATTGTCCTGAACTAGAAAAATGCTTGTTTTTTGCCCCTTTATGGCCCCTAATTCCTAAATTTTTGAGGGAATTACCCCCAAAATCAATCCCAGCCTTCCCTTTGTGGTATGGTACCTTGCAGTACAATTTCAGAGAGATCCATACACTTGAACAAAAGTTATTGTCTGGAAACTAGAAAAATGCTTATTTTTGGCCCCTTATTCCTAAACGTTTTGGGCAATTACCCCCAAACTCAATTCCAGCTTTCCCTTTGTGATATGGAACCTTGCAATACAATTTCATAAAGATCCATACACTTACACACAAGTTATTGTCATGAAACTAGAAAAATGCTTGTTTTTTGCCCCTTTTTGGCCTCTAATTCCTAAAATTTGGAGGCAATTACCCCAAAAATCAATCCCAGCATTCCCTTTGTGATATGGAACCTTGTGGTACAATGTCAGAGAGATCCATACACTTACACACAAGTTATTGTCATGAAACTAGAAAAATGCTTGTTTTTTGCCCCTTTTTTGCCCCTAATTCCTAAAATTTGGAGGCAATTACCCCAAAAATCAATCCCAGCATTCCCTTTGTAATATGGAACCTTGTGGTACAATGTCAGAGAGATCCATACACTTACACACAAGTTATTGTCATGAAACTAGAAAAATGCTTGTTTTTTGCCCCTTTTTGGCCCCTAATTCCTAAAATTTGGAGGCAATTACCCCAAAAATCAATCCCAGCATTCCCTTTGTGATATGGGACCTTGTGGTACAATGTCAGAGAGATCCAATCACTTACACACAAGTTATTGTCATGAAACTAGAAAAATGCTTGTTTTTTGCCCCTTTTTGGCCCCTAATTCCTAAAATTTGGAGGCAATTACCCCCAAAATCAATCCCAGCATTCCCTTTGTGATATGGAACCTTGTGGTACAATATCAGAGAGATCCATACACTAACACACAAGTTATGTCTGGAAGTTACAAAAATGCTTATTTTTGGCCCCTTTTTGGCCCCTTTTTCCTTAACTGTTGGTACCATAACCCTCAAAATCAATCCCCACCTTCCTTTTGTGGTATTGAACCTTATGGTAAAATTTCATAGAGATCCATTCACTTAAACTAAAGTTAGAGTGCGAAAACCAATGTGTCTTCGGACGATGACGACGCCAACGTCATACCATTATACGACCGAAAAAAATTTTTGCGGTCGTATAAAAATGGAATTTTAGGGGCAACAACTCCGATTTTTTTTACATTTTACCCTTATGTTCTAATTTTTAGCAACAGCGGCCATGTTTGCTGATGGGTCAAATCCCCATTTTTAAACTCGATATCCTTAGGAACATTCATGTTAAGTTATATAACATTTAGCCTAGTAGGCTCAGAGGAGATTTCTTTTCAAGTGAACAGACCGGCGCCGACGACGGACGCAAAATGATGGCAAAAGCTCACATGCCATTATAGGCCAGATGAGATTAAAAGGAATATATCAGGGGCAATAACTCCGAAACAAGTTGACAGATTTTTCTCAAATTTTCAGGGTAAATTTTTATGACCTGCTGATCCTTTTGGGAATTTCCACTTTTAACCTACCTCCTAAAGTTCTCACCAAAAAGCCAACTGTTAAAATTATAAACAAGAGGCTCCCAGGAATCTGCATCGTCCACCCGTCATTTTTGCATAAAATTGGTAGAATGCAACAAAAACGGTTCTTATAGTTTCTGGCCAAAAAGAAATGGGAAAAAGTTCTATAGCAAGGACAATTACTAATGTAAAGGTTCAATTGACGATTTCAGTCATGTTGAATAATTAGTAAATCTTATCCTGATGAATATGTTTTCTGAAAGCAGTTTATCTTTATCTTCCAACAGTTTAAAAAAAAAACACAAATACTGGGTAAAAAATTGTTAATCAAGGGCATAAATACCTAAAAAAATCATGATGAATTCGGAAATATTGTCTTATTTGTAAAAAATCTCCGCTGGCACTATATATAATAATCCCAGATCTCCTGTTGATCATTTTTGCTGTTTATACGTTTTTTATCTATCTACCAAAAAACAAAAATGGGTAAAAATCACCTTTTGAGGTATAAATCATCATTTAAGTGCAAACAAATCTTATCAGGGGTTTACTGACTGTTAGGGCAATGTTGACTTGTTTTTAAATTCTGTCTTCCTGATCATTTTTGCTATTTAGATTTCTATCTTTCTATATTGCAAAAAATCAACAACAAAAATGGTAAAAATCGTCATTTCAGGACAATAACTGCTATAAAGAATAGACTTGGGACTATTATACTAATATAAAACAATATATTATGTCCCAGGGTAGACTAACCAATTCAGCATTGTCAGCTTATTTGTAGATCTGGTCTTGCTGATCATTTTTGCAATTCAAAGTTTCTTTCAATCTACAATAGGTTAAAAACATAAAATTGGTAAAAATCTTCAGTTTAGGGCCATAAGTTCTGACGATTTCGACCATGATTGACTTATTTGAAGATATTATCATGCTGACCGTTTTGGATTTTTGTTTCATCTTGGTAAAAAAACATCATTTAAGGGCATTAACTCTAACAAAAAGTTGACTGAAGATTTCGGCTAAGTTAATCAAAACACCCCCTATAGTAGAAGTAGTACTTTCCATCTACCGTGTGTTTTTTTTTTTTAATTCTATCTTCAATTTTTGTTGCAGTTTCGACAGCAGATCACGAATTATAATGACCAAACTTGCGGACAATAAGTCTCTAGCGAAAATCAAAGATAGTTTTTTACTGATTTACGAAGTGTATAGCTGTTGTTACTTTTTTCAATAACTTAAACCTCGGAATATATGTAAGAGTCAAATATATCATCCTCAATTCTGTGCCTTTTGCTTTCACCTACAATCTATTTGACAATTTGTCCATTAATGCTTTGTTACTTAAAACTCTTAACAAAACTAGCTTGTGAGATCATTTTTATATAACATTTGTCTAAAAAACAAAAATTTTAGGGGCAACAACTCCGATTTTTTTCGTCATTTTACCCTAATGTTCTAATTTTTACGAAGTTGTTTTTCGTTCTATGGTAAGGATTTCTGATTGTTGCATTAAAACGTGGGTATTATTCATGCATATTACGGTTAATGACCCTTCCTGTGCATTAAAAAAATTTCAAAGTGCTTCAATATCAATAGAGCAAAAATACATTATATAAGTGACGTGCCATTTACCAAACGGAAACGTTGTTCTAAGCAATACTGTTTATTATTTATTTTCATTTAGTAAAAATACGGATTTTGTGGCAAAAAAAGCCAGGATTTTTGCTGAAAATCCAGACTATTAGATATTCTTTATAGCATTTTAAATATAGATTACTCAGTCGTTTGTTAATGACATGCTAGCGTTTATTGTTTACAAAAAGTCCTAAACAACCTTTACAATCCCAAAAAACATCGTGATGAGTCACTAAAGTCGAGCACACCTTAGAAGGTGTACTTGAATAAGTCCATATTCATCCTTGTTTTAACCAATTTCTTTATTTATAAACTTTTTTTTAGAGAAATCATTGTTAAAACTGCATGCAATAATTCTCTATCTATTAAGAACCAAATTGTCAAATGTAGGAGTACAAGGGGAAAGGATGTGGATTTTTTATAAAAATTTCCGTATGTTGACCAGTGAAACAACAAATAGGTACAAACAGGAACAAAATAATGTGCAAGATGAATATCAGTATTTCTTGCTTTGTAATAAAACAACGGGAAAGATATTCATCTTGCAAGCTCCCAATGTATTTCAATTTTTTATAGAAAGGCCCGTCACCCCATTCATAAACAGTATTCTAAATCTTTCCTTTTACTCCTAAAAGCAGCAAATTCTAAAGTCTTTAGCTTGATAATGGTTGAACTGATGACATCACCCTATTATGACAAGCATGTCATCACTGGTCATGGTAGTACCTTTTGAATTCCAACTAACAAGACAAAAAGTTCTTCTTGTATTCCAGAGGGTTATAAGGTTTCATCAGAATCAAATACTTCTATGATTTGATAGGTTACGGTCAGGAAAATTTTATAATTCAATTCCTCCCAGACAGCTAGGCTTATGCCCCTGGAAACAAGGATCAGTGATGTTTATGGCTGTGGTCAAAATGTGTGTATATGATCATCCAACGAAACTTTTCAAGATTTCAGTTTTTTGCTTAGTGGATCAGGTCTTCAAAATGTTAAACTGGAAGCACATTAGATCATTGCCTGTCCACTACAATGAGCAATCTTTCCACAGAAATGAGCTGACACACCAGCATTTCACTTTTTGGTCACATTTTTATTTGAAAAATGTGTGCATGTCACGTTTTTATGTGGAAAAAAAAATCAAGGCAAAATCAAATTCTTGGTGGCATGTGGACATAAAAATTGTGGAAGGGGTAAAAAATTTTTTTTTTTTTATCTAAAACATTTATTAAAACAAGAGCAGAAAAATACAAAGAAATAGAAATCAAACTGGTGTGGCCATATAATATTATAAAACGTTAAAAGTGCAATTTTAATTATATTTATTGCATCTAAAAATACAGATCTATAAGTAATTTTGACAATTTTATATTGTATAAAGACAAATATAGAACAATTTACACAAACATAAATAGAAATTTTAAATATCTACAGTTTAATAATTATCAAAAATATGAATTTTAGTTTGTGTGCTGCCATAATTATAAAAGTAAACCACAAGATTGCAAAAAGTTCACTAAATTTCCAAAATGTACTAAAATTGAGTAGGTCAACCAAAATGAAAGCAAGTATAGTATGCAATTCACAAATTCAACTACCCTACATTACCCCCAAAAATCAGTTCAATATTTGAAAACATGGAAAGAAAAAAGTACTAGAATAGCCCAATTTTCATTTTATTTTGTATATAAAAAGCCCATAAATCTAAAACAAATTATATTCAAAATCAAACAAAAACTCTATATGTACCCAAGTAATATATATCTGCATGCAAAGATCAGCTAAATATAAACAAGAACAGAAAAATAGAATGAAAGTGTTATATTAAAGGACATAGGTAAAACTTTTATTGAACTTAAAATTTTCCCTCCAGAGCGCTTAAATTCATCAAAAATATCCCTTTTAAATCATAACTGAAAAAAAAGTGAAGGGGTTCACATGTCAAGCCTTACCTGTATTTAAAACTAAATAAGGCCATTCATACTGAATTTAACCACTCAATACACAATTTCAATCCACAAATCAGCTGTTTCTGCCTCAGATTAGCTGCTAGATTTATTCTTGTATTCTCTCAAGCTTAATTGTACATCCAGACTTTACCTTATTTAACAACACATTTTATTTTATTTAAGTGATAATTTGGTAAAAATAATAAACCTAAAAGAAAAGACCCTTTTTCAAACAATTGTACTATTTTGTAGGATTCTGCATCTTTTTATGTAATAAAAATACAATATGTCAAAAATATGGAATAACAAAAACTGAACACATTGTGGAAGTTCCTGAATAATAATGATTTGAAAACACAATTTCATATAAAAATACAAAGCAAATATTCAAAGCAGTTTTTCTTTCCTGAGCAATAAACTGTAGGCAATACTTTCAATCCATGAATAATTATTTTGAAAATGATATTTACAATATACAACTATCAAGAGCAAGAAAGTTTTTCTGAAAGTATTTGTACCTTAAATACAATGCTGGTAAAGTGACCAACAAACAAATCAAAAGAAAGCAAGCAATACTTTTCTTCACTGACGATATCAAGTATAAATGGTAGTTTATTTGTTCCCTAACAATTAATATATATCATAGTAGTCCCTGAACACATTGTGATATTATCTATTACCGAACAAATAAAACAAAACACATCACTGAAAAGGCTACTGTATTGACTGATTAAACATTAGAACGGAACACATTATGGTATTATGGCATTTTCTTTATGTTTACCAACACAGAACACATTTAAGTATTTTCTATTCCTACAACAATTTAACAGAACACATTGTGGTATTTTCTATTTCATAAAAGTCCAACAGAACACACTGTATTTCTATTCCTCTACCTAAACAGAACACATTGTGGTATTTTCTATTTCATAAAAGTCCAACAGAACACACTGTATTTCTATTCCTCTACCTACACAGAACACATTGTGGTATTTTCTATTCATTCAACAATAAAACAGGAAATATTGTGGTATTTCCTATTCCTACATAGACATTGTGGTATATGCTATTCCTTGAATAACCAATTGGATAATGGTAATTTTTTCTAGTGTTCCTACCTGGATTTGTATAATAATATAGTTAACAACTAGAACAATTATTATCTCAAAATTTGCCCTCTCATTCCAGTTATCAAATTAGAAGTATAAGCAACTGGATGTTTATCCCAATCATGTTAAACAACCATCACCTGTGCATATTATACACCTGTCATCATCAAATCTTGTCTTTATAAATCCAAATTTTGGGTAAAACTTTCAAATGGTTTGGTCAAAGCAAACTTGACTAATTGGTCAAATATGTGAAAAAAGTCCTGGAACACTGTAGCAACTACGATAAAAATAACTTCAAGAGTATTTTAACGACATCCAACATTGAGAAAAAAATTGGTAGAGTAAACTTCTTAGTTATTGTGACCTTTGCTGCAATGGGTATACCATTAAAGATCTGTTTTAGTTTATAAGAATTACTGTATACAAATAAATTACATCAGAATATGCATTTTCACTTGAATAATGACTTAATCACAGTCTACATTTCAATGCAAGTTTCATGGATTCATTTTTCAAAATTTACAAAATATTTTGACAAAGCATTTAAAGTATGTAAAACTCGCATACTTCTCCCTAGATTCTAACCAACTCAATGAAGTGCACCTGAAAAGATTTCTTGTACATCATTATATTGACAACTAGCCTGACACTTTTATACATGTGATTACTGTTCCAAGTGCTTTACCAAACTGACCATTACCTGAGGTGGTAGTATTTAAAATTAAAAACAATAGATTTCATTTTGGTAGTTTGAAATGTTAACATGATACAATTTCACGATTCCATTTTGATATCTGTTTTTAATACTGACAGTCCATCAAACAGTTTCGTCAAGTTGACCTCAGAATAAGCATTTTTTCTTAGCCATTTTGTAGTAACATTCTTTAAGATGTCATAATGTTCTTTGTAGTCCTTTAGTCTTGTATTAGCCATTGCTGAAAAAAATTTAAAAAAGTTTTGTTTTATGCTAGCCAATACTGACATACACTTATCTTGATGTTGTTAGGATCCAAGAATAAGTTTAGGGATATATCTGTAATTTGACTAAAGAGAACAGAAATAGTATTCTGTGAATAATCAAAGGGAGACAACTTAAGAATAACATTGTAATGTTATGATAATTATATTCTTGTAGCCTGCATGGTTCAATCTACATAGTCAGTTATTTCTAATAAGAAAGTGAGAAACAGTAACCTAACCACAAATCTAAGTATCTCAAAATAGATTAAATAACAACAATTGGTAGTTTCATTATTAGACCACAAAAAGTAGAACACAGCATTTTTATGATTCCTGTAAACTGGTACATATACATATAAAACTAACAATTCGCTTAAAAGTGTACTGCATGTGGAACTACTTTAACCGTAAAATCGTTGACAGAAAAATCACATTGGATAAACAAAAGTTCCAAAAAACACACCATAGAGCTACTAAGAAAAATGTAACAAACTTATTCTTATTTACATGTTAGATACACATGTATCAGAAAACAGGATGTAGTTAGAGAACAATAAGATAAAATCAGTCATAAATTGTCTTTCTTTTTTTTTTTTACAAGGTTAAACGTCTTTTTATACTGCAGCTAGACTTCCTAATGTCTTTATCTGCTCAATATAGCAACAATGTGATATTTCTTGCAATGTGGATTTCATATTTACATCACTTTTCCTCAGAGTTTGGGGTTCGTTTAGGTATGGAAAATGTGTTTTATTTTTGTGTTAACATTTTTATAACTATAAATGTAGCCATTTTTAGCTGCTGTATAAAAACAATATTAGTTCAATGTCAGAAAAATATCCATTTTTTTTTATTTTGCACAAAACATTTGAAGGGCTTGGTAAACCCCAGTTTCTCAGACTCATAGACAGCATGCTTTATGTGCTAGTCACCAGATTAATGAAGACTTTGCTGAGAATATGTTAATAACTTACACTGTTCTTTGTCAGATAATTTCATCTTTGCTCTCTCATAATCAAATACATGCTGATAGAAACAAAGCTGTGTATACAACCAGGAATCTGTAGTCTGGAAAAAAATAATACATAGTCAACCATTATTTTTTAATTCTCTTCTGAATATTTATTATATGTACTTTGTACTTTATTATTTTGTACCAAATTTTTTTTTTTATTATTACTCAGGGCTCACACTACTTCATAATCATAGGGAGAAGTGACTTCTCTTTTTGAAACTGATTGGGAGAAGTGGTGATACTTGAAAGAGAAGTGCTTGTTTGCTCGGGCTGCAGTTTTAGGTTTTTACTATGACATAAAGGGCCATATGTATTCTATTTATTTCATTTTTTAATATTGTTCAATTCATACCCGAGTATACAATTTAAGTAACAGTTGTTTCAGTTTATGTCTTAAATAACCACTGATTTATAATTAAACAATTATTTTTTCCTCTTTTAAGAAACTACCAACTAAATATCTAGCACTAAAAAGAACTTTTGTTTATATCAAAAAGGAAAAGTAAGTATACTAGTCCCAGCATATATCAATTAAAATTCATTTAAAAAACTATTCTGTTTATCATGTTTAAGAAATCCATTTTTTCTCATTTTAAAATTACTTTTCCGTCAGTTGTGCCATTTGTGCCTCCGTAGTTATTATCATAAGTATACGGATTTCGGTCATAGCTTTTCCGTTTCCTATGAATCCAGCCTCCAATCCATAGTTTCGAACAAATATTTCAATGGGGCACCAAGAAAAATTTACGAAAATAAAGGATGTCTGACAAGCGATTTGGAAAGAAATATGACGCTTTTAATGCAATAAAAGATGAAACATCAACTAATGGCAATTTTCATCACATTCTAATGAAGTAACAAACTTATTTTGTCGAAAATCAGAATGTTTTGATGTACACTCGCAAGTAACAAGTACTGGAAATGAAAGAAAATACTTCTTATAAAGTTGTCTGTTTGAAATAACATACAACCAATATGTAAAATCAATGCTTTCACCTCTTTTATAAGGAAATACATCGTTTATGTCTTTGAACTTCTTTACTTATAAATGAAAAATTGCTGATTCATTGACTTGGTAAAAATTGAAAATTGCCCATGACAAAAGTGACTGAAAGCGACCATTGTGAACACCAGGGCGACTAGATATTGCTTTTTACGGTCGGGTAAAGTGAAGTGACGGATTGGAAAGTGACTTTTTCGCCCTAGTCGCCTGCTAGCGTGAACCCTGATTACTGTTGTCTTTAAAATTAATAAAAAATACTGGTAAATATGAATCTTTGCATCAATAATGGAAATTGACTTCATTCTATAATTTATAAACTAAGAATGATCAACAGCTTAATAATTTCTATCAAATTTTTTCTTTGTACCATAAGTTGATACAGATTTATCACATATTAAATATAATTAGTTTCTGATTGCTATGAACATGTCTAGTCTTATGCCTAGCGGTAATAAATTGCTTCTTCGGGCGCCACTTGATACGACCGCAGAGGTCCAACCCTGAACAGTTGGGGCCAAAATGGACACAATATTCGCGCTTGATACGTCTGAATTAGGATTGTAATTAAATATTTGACATATAATAGGTTTCTGACACAGAATAACTGTAGTCAAAGAACTTAGAATTGGTTATATGATTTGAATTTATATTCAATTTTTTGCTTTTGTGCAATACACTGTGCCTGTGCGAATTGACCCCCCCCCCCCCCCCAAAAAAAAATAAATAAAAATTATCCCTTTTTTTTTTTGCTTTTGTGCAATACACTATGCTGCTGTGTATCGGACGACGATGCCGCCAAAGTCATACCAATATATGACCGCAAAATTTTTGCGGTTGTATAAAAAGACCAACCATTTTAACACTGTATACATGATAGATTAAACTAAAAAACAAATCTGTTTCAGTAATACTGTTTACAGAACATCTTACCTGTGTATGTAGAATACCCTTATTGCAAGCTGAACAGATAGGGTGACCTCTTTGAAAAGTCAGTGGTAATTTTCTCGTAACCATTCCACAGGCTGTATCTTCACATTTCATCCAACCCTGAATAATAATCAGCAATGTTTAGTGCATGCAGTCGTACTTAGAATACCCCCTCTTAAATCATAGTAAAAGGAAATAAGAAGTAGGTATCTGAAAGATTCAAGCTACAGACCAGATGTTGTCATTCTATACAGTAGTATGGGAAAAATTTAATTCATTCAACATATTGAAAAATTGAAAGAATAGGTAAACAGGAAGTATGTTTCTGGTAAAAATGTGTGACAAAATATTTGTTGGATGAATGGTGATAGCAATATAACCTGCTCTTAGAGTGGGGGTATACAAAAATACCAATATATATGCCATAAACTTAAATCATCTGCATCTTAAAACAGCTTGGCACTGGACAAATTTTTTCCATTAGCTTTCTTTTGTTTATGAACAAAAAATAAAATACAAATTGTTATGAATAGATGTATTTGAAATTCTTAATTAATTTTCGCAACTCTCAACTCGAATCCAAGAGAGTCCTAAACAGCACTATAAGGACAGCCTCCATACATTAAAGAGGTTGACATCTATTTGCCTCATGTCTTAAGGATACACAAGACAAAAACACATATCTATAGGATTCATAGTTGCAGAAATAAAGTAGAATACCAACTGAAATGAACGGTCTTCATTTGAAGAAATATAGTATGTTTTCATATAGATCTGTTAAAAATGGTTTTCAAGAAAAATAAACAAATACTAAAATTATCAACCAACTTTACCTTTTTAATTAGGAATATTTTCATCAAAAATAAAATAAACAGAATTTAAGTAAAAAAATGCCATAACTGTATTATATATATATTATAATAACTGAACCATTAAATTACAAGGTCATTCTTTGGAACTATGTTTTGAATTTGTTTCACATAAAACATTTTTACAAATGTTATCCATATTTCAATCATGATGAAAAAGATTTGAATTATTTCTAATTATTTCAAACCTGGAGCCAGAAAATGGATAAAAGAACACCATAGAAAGAAATGCCATACATATGGCTCATTGCTTACTATAGCTTGGCCATAAAAATTGATGGTCTGGTAACCATTAATAAATTATATTTAATTAGGCTAAATAGAAGAAATATTATTTGTTTTATTTAATAGAATTTGGTGCTGATTGGTCACTTTTTACAACCTGACAGATGGTATGGATACTCATCTATTATTGAAGACTAATGTTGACTAGATATCTTTTCTGCTTTTTTATAGATTACCTACTCATTTACATATACTCTACAATTTCTATTTAATAGTCATACCTCTCAATTAACTAATAAATAATATTATTTATCCCTCAAAACTTTTGATTTTTTTTTTAAATCCTGGAATATTATCACAAGGCTCACGATAAAACCTCATATTTTTAAAATATCAATAGTAAATTCTAACCTGATAATAACTGCGGACATGTTGTCTGATATCATTGGTAAGTTGATTTACAAGCTGATCAATAATTCCAGCTAGCTGCACTTCACAGTCTTTGTTGGGACACTTTGACAATGTACATTCCAAAAACTGCTCCTGGAAAGAAAACATATGAAAACTTTACAAAATTTTAATGCATGATGTAGAAACTATGAATCAATTTCAAGATAAAATTCTTCATTATTTTGAACATGAATTATTGGATAATATAAAATCTAAATAATGCAATCATCTTTATATACTGTATAATTTGAACTAGGGATGTCAATTTCATTAAAAGTCAGCACATTAGTACTCACAAAGTCAACTAAACTGCACTAAACAACTATTATTATTAACTGTTATTATGAAATTAAGTAAAGTTCTCTTTTTTGACAATTGCCAAAGACTTTAAGATATATAAATTATGAATTTATGTTAGTAACATTCAATACTCAGAAATATTTGATAAAACTCAAGACCTTGTTGACATTTTTTTAAACATACTTTAAAACATACTCATAAAATTGATTATTTCTTTAGAAACATTCTATCCTTAAATAATTTAAAGTTAATGCATCATTTTTGCCAAATAAGATGTTCAGAAGCTGAGTTACTCAAGATGTTTTGTGAATCTCACACCTGTAATTTTTTGCTTTAATCTTTCATCAATGATTATTTTTGCTTTTCAATATATATCAATGAATGGCTTAAAACTTCCATTGAAATGTTCTTTGTATCTGTCATATTTTCTTCAAAATCAAAGAAATGCATTTTACCCCTATGTTTCATTTTAGCCATAGTGACTATGTTTCTTGACGTACAAGAAAATACAATACAAAATTTATACTAGATTCTCTGAAACTCATTCAGCCCAAGTTTGGCTGAAATTGATTCAGCAGTTTCAAAGGAGAAGATTTTTTAAAGTAAGCAAACTAAATGAACAAATTGTGAAAAATTGATTTTAAAGGGCAATAACTCCTTAAGGGATCAATTGACAATTTTGATCATGTAAACTTATTTGTAGATCTTACCTTGCTGAACATTTTTGCAGTTCACAGTTTATCTTTATCATTAATAATATTCAAGATAATAACCAAAAACCATATCAGATTTGCTCTAAATGCTTTGGTTTTTGAGATAAAAGCCAAAAATTGCATTTTACCCCTACGTTCTATTTTTAGCCATGGCGGCCATGTTATTTGACGAAACAGTAAATAAAACACAAACTTTATTCTAGATACCCTAAGCATCATTCACCTTAAGTTTGGTTGGAATTTGTTCAGTACTTTCAGAGGAGAAGATGTTTGAAATAGTTTACACCAGACGGACGACGACGGGCGCCAAGTGATGGCAAAAGCTCACAGTTCCTTCGGAACAGTGAGCTAAAAAGATTTTTACTGAATGACAATATTTTGTCAACTTACTGCACCAGTGAAAACACCATCAAATATAATTTCTCTGCCACAAGTAGGACCAGGACACGTAAATTTAAATCTGTGACAATCTTTATATTTCTCTTCATCGGACATCTCCACACCACCTAACAAAGCATCATCGTCATCCATCTCTTCTTGTTTGGCTGCATGTTTGTAACCACTAGGATCTAAACCTGAATGATCATTGGAGAACTCATTAACTGGCATTTCTTCATGTGTTAATACTGATGCTCTCATTTTCAGCTAATTGATTTTTCTGAGAGAACTCATTAAACTGTAATACTGATGCTCTGATTTATTCAAACGATGCAATAAAGTATTAACTTGTAATTGACAATATTCTTGTAATAATTTAATTTTGGATGTAACGCATCTTCTGATTGGCTGAAGTTGTTTTGTTTATCAGCTCATAGACATAATTTTGTCATGTGACCGTGACATCATCAACGTTTTTTCATTGTTTACTCCGGTTTAAAATGGAATTTAGAATTAAATTATAAGAAATGACTGTAATATTTTTTCTGTCTATTCGAAATAACATAAAAAATGTGGTGCACACTTTAAAATAACCTGCTACGCGGGTTATTCAGTGTGCACCACATTTTTTATGTTATTTCTTCATAGACAGAAATAATCAGTGGAAGTCAAAATTAAACATTGCATTGTATAAAGCATTGAATGTAGTTGATTCAATTATAATCATGGACAAAGGAACTCCAATTTTAATAAAAATTACTTGATATTTAGAAGAAAATAAAAATTTTGCAATTTTTCCATTTATAAAGAGGCATAACTCTAGAACGGTTTAAGTGATGCCACCAAAACTCAAACTTGATCTGTGTTTTGTGGTAATAAGCATTGTGTATAAGTTTCATAACATTTGGTTGAGGCAAACTAAAATTAGAGAACGGAAATGAAAAATTCGGCAATTTTTCCATTTGTAAAGGGGCATAACTCTAGAACGGTAAAAGTGACGACACCAAAATTCAAACTTGATCTGTGTTTTGAGGTAATAAGCATTGTGTATAAGTTTCATAACATTTGATTGAGGCAAACTAAAGTTAGAGAACGGAAACCAATTTTGGGACATACGTACAGACGGACAAGGGTAAAACTTAATGCCCCCTCCGCTACGGCGGGGGCATAAAAATATTACAGTCATTCCTTAATTATTTCAACTTTTTTGAGAGAAAAAAATATTTCCTTATGAATGATATTATATAGTCAAGCACCATGAGTTGCTAAGGATCTTTAAGCTTACATAAAAATTAAGAACAACATTTTTAGAATGCAAAACACAGTTTAAGAAAGGGAGAGGTGAGCACATCAACATTCACATTAGAAATCAAACACATTTAAGTTAATAATACTGTAGTAGTGTCATTTTTACGCCTATTGAATAACAGTAAAAATATCTTTATAACGTACTTTAAATTGATTGTATTTATTATAAAAGTTTAACTCTTGAATTTTGATGAAGGAATATTATTATTTAATTCCAAATCTACACTTTACTTTTTATATTTAGTTCATGAATATTCAAAAGGTTCTTAGTTAAAATTGCGTATCTGATTGGTCATTGTGATTTCGCGGTCAATTTATATTTTGTATTGACCAGGTAGATTTGAACGGGAACTTGAAATGACAGCCACATGATATTGTGTGTCCCGAGTTATATTACCTGTATATTATTATTTTCATTCATTGTGGACATAACATATATCTGATTAATGCAAGTTATTTTCTTTATTATATAAGTTATATTTTCACATGTAAATGATAAAAGTTAGCAAAGTTTCTATTGTATGACTTCGTTCTCCTCGTAAAGTTTGATTATTACATTAGTATGATAGATGTACCCGAGAATATTTTATTTAGCTTCGTGCTACATATATTTTATTATCTACCGTTAATTTGTCACGATAGAATATAGAACAAGATAATTTGCGCAGCTATTTGATTATTGACACAGATAATTGATATTTCATAAATGGCGGCATATTAAACAAAATAAGGAAAAGTGTTAATGTTGATATTTATTAGTACACTTATATTATACAATGTAATGATAGAAGTATAACTATGAATGAACTTGAGTTATTTTGTCATATTGTATATTTTAATATTTTACAAGTCCGAATGTTTATGATTACATTTTGGTTTTAGGACTCCATTGATGTAGTTATATACAGAGTATTACTTGTGAACTGTGCCTACTCCTTACCAGTAAAACTCACTCCACAAGAGTCAATCTATTTTAATTATGTAATGTTGTAAACAGAACGTTATGGATTATTTCCGTTTAAATATGCGGTTTTAAGCATATTTAAGATATTGGCTTAATTAGTCTTTATAAAAATAGTATTTGCAACTTAATGATTGTTGTAATGTAATAGTATGTAAAGAACAAATAATATATTATGTTCCGATTAGTTTATTGTTATATGTGCAGTTTTAACTTTAGTTTTGTACCGTACACATAGTTTACCAGTAAACATTATATAGTACACTATTTATGATCAAGGGTTACATTCTTGTGTAGTATATCACAATGAGAAATAAAAGTACACGTGACATCAATTTACTGAATGTATTTATTATTGAATTAGTACAGAGTAGTATAGTACACAGTAATTAATAGCATTGTATTTTACTATTACCATATGTGATAATGTGTAATTTAAGATACTTGTGTTTTATAAAATAGAACTGTTAATCATAATTGTGATATTGTTATTTCAGAGTTTATTTTCTATTACTGGTATTAAATCATCCGAACCCTACAGAACAGAGTTTGTTATTTACTTAATCCAAGATACGACCCTGTTACAAAATGGCGCCCAACGTAGTTTATGGATTGATGGCACAGTCAGATTACGGTACCAGTGTGTGTGTTTAGTGACAACCGAAGCAGACGACAGATGAGACCTCGTGATGTGTTTGTTTACCAACCATGAGCAGATGTCCGAAGATGCACGTGCCAGTGTTTACATCCGTTGATGTCCACATGTGTTTATTTACATTAACATTTTATACCGTTTTCCAGTTATGAAGATTTGTGAAACCGAAAGTTACTTTCAGTAACTTAGACTTTTTGATTTTCTTAATTGAAAATAGAACTTTTGTTGTTATAATTAATTCATATTATTGTGATTGGAATTGGAAAAGTAACTTAGCTTTATAAGGTAGGCTTTTTACTTATATATATATTATAATTGTATACTGAAATAGTTTGCTTACACACTTTAAAAAAAAAAAATTTTACACATACTTTAATTTGTTTACTTAAAGGATACTTTAATTAGATATCATATATTGGTCGATTACTATATCGCATTGCAACACCAACACTTACTTATTACAGCAACACACGTTGATAGATAGATAGCATACATACATGTAGTGTTATTGGTATACCACCGTTCAACTTAAACTTAGTTACACTTAAACATTTTTACACATTGACATTGTTCATTCATACATACACTTTTGGACTTTGATTTTTTTTTTAGCGTCCTACATATTGACCTTTTCACACTTAAACACATTGAAAATTTTTTTTTTTCATTGAAAATTAGCATCACTTGGTGATTGATTGTTTATATGAGAGTACAGATGTACTTGTAGAATTTATTGACTTTTATTTTTACACATTAAAAGTACATTTTTTTTCATATACAGAAAGCAACACTATCGTATACAGTTATAGTATATAGTACCTTTACTCTGTGTTGAAATTAGACAGAGTTTGAAACAATCTATAGTTTGATTAGATAGATTCTAAACATGTGACTGTTGAAATATTTGAATTTATTCAATTACAATATACTCTGATTGAGGTTCACTCATTTGCATATGATATATATTCAATCATTTTAATATTTGGTAGTACTTATTTATCAATGCACATCCATGTGTATTTGATATAATTTGTGTGTATTTTAGTTATTGTAGAATTGAGTATTGGTTATTGATTAAAATTTACCATTTTGATTTATTGTAATTATGATACTCTAGTGTGGTGGTTAGGTAGTTAATAGTTGTATTATCACATTTTTGTTTTGAAACACCTTTTATAGACATAGGTTTTTGGAAGTGAAAGTATTTTTTTTTTCATTTTCGGTTTTGTTGTTGGCATTTATTAAGTAAGTTGGGCTACTACATTCTTCCAATCGGTCATGGAACAGTATGGTCCAAAGAAGAAACGCCATCGTCGTAGACGTAGACAGCGACCCTACTGGGACAACGACTTTGACAACCAAGCCAACCAAAACTACTCGCCTGCGTCGACTCCTATTCCACGAACAAGAGATCCTATCGTATGTTATCGATGCGGAGGACTTCATCACATAGCCATTGGTTGCCGTATACGATTAGACCATTCACGACAAGCTTATAACTTCCAGCAGATCAACGCGGAAGATAGAACATATGCATACCAACAGCAACAGTCAACACGTGATGTCACTGACCAACTACTAGGCAGCACCAATGAAGTAACTGTTAAGATAAATGGTATTCAAGTTACAGCATTATTAGATACAGGTTCCACAGTTAGCACTGTCAGCGAATCATTTCATCGAAAATACTTACCTGATCATGCTATACAGACACTTAACCGTATTCTAAACATAGAATGTGCTGATGGAGAGAACTTACTGTATCATGGTTACATCACTGTCGATTTAGAATTACCTGGAGCATCACCATCAGATATACCACAACATTGCTTACTACTAGTAGTCCCTGATAGCACCTACAACAAGACTGTACCTTTGCTACTTGGTACCAACGTATTGAATAGAGCAATGGATGATGTGAAACAACGCTTTGGTCATCGATTTTTACAAAACGCCAACTTGATCACTCCATGGTATATGACGTTTCGATGCCTTTTACTCAGAGAGAAAGAACTCAACAAGAGAAACAACAGATTAGCATTGATTAAATGCGCAGAAGGAAAGACTGTTTGCATCCCACCGAATAAAGATGTCATGCTTCAAGGTTATATGGACCATGAGTTGCCGTACCACCCTGTATGTGGAATACTTCAACCAACACATAAGGCAGCAGTACCTATAGACTTAGACATAGCTCCAACACTTGTCAACTACGAATACAGAGATAACAGATTAGTACCTGTACATATCAGTAATGTAACAGCGAGAACCAT